TTTTTAAACTGATATTTTTTTACACGGTGACAACCCAAAATACTAAATGCATATTGAAAAACGTGCCCCAAAGCTTAAAAAATCCGAATATTGGGGGGCTACCGTAAATACTGGGCCGCCATATGCAATTTTCAACATGAAACAGAATTGCATCAATGTCATGAATATAACATTTTATTAGAATCAAGAATAGGGGTTTTTAAATAATATAACCAACATTTTGTGTTGCGGGGTGTTCGAATTAATACAACCTCCATTTTAGTTGTACGACTTGTATGATACGAATTATGCTTGTAATAAGAGTTCGTGGTGCATGTCTTAGGTACATTCTGCTGACAAGCGCCATCTGTATTCGAGAACGATTCAATATACATTGTCCGGTGGTGAGATTGGAATTTCCTACATATGTGGTTTATACACACCACACTGTGGATGGTGGATATTATTATAATAAAATTTATAACACTACGTTTACAAAGCCAAAATTCACAACCTATAAATAGTCCGACCTTTTATTAAAAATACTTTAAATCGATCTGTGGAAATTTCACACCCAATGAAAGCATAAAATATGAAAAATATCTAATTCCGTTGAATAAATTGCAGCAAATTTGGAAAGAAAACTTAAGCAAAATACCGACATTTTGGAAACGGAATCAGCGGAAGCTATTATTAAAATTGGGCGTATGTTGATAATTTTTGGTAGGAAGATTTCCTACCCAATGAGAATACAAAATGAATGACAAAAATTCCTTTATATGGAGGCGATTATATACATTAAAAGTTCGGAAAAACCAACCTTCTTCGGCAAATCCTGTGCAGCACCAATTTCCTCATCTCTGGATTTACTTTCATTTTCAGCTGTTTCGAACCCTTCGAAGTCACTCATATCATCCTCGGAATACACTGCATTTCCACCATCCGATGTAAATTATTGTCTGTTTAATTACCATCGGATTCAATTTTGTCTTGCAGAATATAATCAAAAAGTGTATCACTCGTGGAAGATCCTTCATCATCAGATGTCTCACTGCATTTACCAAAACGATTTTCATCAAATAGCACATCCCGGCATTTGATGACTTTATTTTTATTCGCATCATACAGACGGTATGTCTTAGCTGTCGATGAATATCCAACTATTATATATCGCCTGCCTTTGGCATCGAATTTGGATTAATTCCCAGACTTATCTAAGGCCACAGCACATGCTCCAAAAATCCTGAAATGTTGGACGCTAGTCTTTCTTCCACACCATTCTTCATACGGCGTTTTGCTTTGTGGGACACCTATTTCTAATATAAACCGCGATGTTTACTGCCTCTGCCCATAAAGCTGGTTTCACAGCATACACCATCATGGATCTGGCCATTTCCACAAGGGTACGGTTTTTAATATTCGTTTTTTTTTATTAATACAAAACAGTGCGGAATTTTCGTACAAAAATGTCAAAAACAAACGAAAAGCAAATGCCCTATTACCTTGTAATAATTATATCATGCTTGTAATTGCCAGAACAAATTACAAAAACAGGCTGTAAAAGTCGGAATGCTATTGGAAAACCATTTATTAGCGTCAACATAACGACTATAACTTCAGGAAAGAGTTGCTTTTTACGGATGAGTCCAAACTGAATATAAAAATGTCATCGGATGGACGCGTACAAATTTGGCCAGAGAACAATCCAAGCTTATATCGTTATAATCTCATTCCCACATTAAAGCATGTTGGCGGCTCAGTGGTGGTACGGGTGTGTAGTATGTAGCTGGAGTTGATAAACGCATCTTTGTTGATGGCGTCATGGCAGCAAAGGACTATATAAACAAGCAAAACTTGAACCAAAGGGCCGTCATAGTGGGGATATCGCGGGACTTTATCTTTCAAGAGAATAATGATTCCTAGCACACTGCGCTAAATACCTCAAACAACTCCTTAAAGCCCATACCTAAAACGGCATATACATTAGAACTTTTTACCGGGTTAACCTTTTTATGAGGATTTATTTCACATATATGCAAAGGAATTGACAATTGAAACGCACTGGGTTAACGAAATCCGTTTAAATGTAAACGTACTATAAGCCCTATTATCTATTGTTGGTCAATTTTGAAGAAATGGTTGAAACATTATAGCATCAGAAACGTGAAAGACCTGCAAAAAACTGAATTGTTCTCCTATAGGAATACGGGTTTGGTCATCCATAATATGAAAACTCTCTTTGTGCATTAAATACTTCGAATTTTGCATACTGTATATTAATACCCTTTCCAGGATATCAACCTACGTTTTGGTATAGTCCCCCACGATATTTTGTATTTTGTGTATGTTTTTTCAAAATTATGTTCTTTTTACTCTCATTTGGTAGAAGTTTGGCGGTAGGTCTTATATAACGGAACCCCTTAATTTTAATTGGGATTTTTTAGACTTTTTTACCCCCAATGGACTCTAATTTGATATTTTGGGTATCAGTAGATGCCGATGTTTCTGCCAAATATATTTTGTTCTAGCAAAAGTATACCGGAACCTCCCAAATTTCGGTACTTTTGGGATACGTTTTTCAATCAAAGTTTATACTTTGCAAAGAAAATAAATAAAAATAATAGTTTTTGTGAGTGGTCGGCGTTTGGCCGCGGATTTGACTTTATCCAAAGGACAATTTATGGAAAGAAATCTGTGAATAATCTTTGTATCGAAATTTTATCCTCTTTGAACTTAAAATGGCCAACAACATCTGCATAAAAGTACATTTGCTCATCCTCATGAAGTAGGTTAAACCGGTAAAAGGTTCTAATGTAAATGCCGTTTTAGACCTTTTTAATGACGTTAATACGGCATTTACATTAGAACTTTTTACCGGGTTAACCTACTTTATGAGGATTTATTTGGCATATATTCAAAGGAATTGAAAATTTAAACCCACTGGGTTAACCAAATCCGGTTAAATGTAAACGACCTTTAACCTTCTTTATGAGGATTGCGAGGAAGAAAAACAAAAATTTGCCTGTTCAGAATTTGCCGTACACGCAAATTCTGCTTTGCTCTGTTCGTTGAAAACAATTTTGTTGACATTTCCTTCTGAACCTATTCGCTTAAATGACACACAGCCGGCTTTTGTATACAAACCTGTTGCTTTAATTTGTGCAAGTGAAATTTAATTTTTAATTTTAGCAATTTATATAATAAAATATATAAAAAATAAATAAAATATTAAAAAAATCTTTAAAATGCAAACACTTTTGACTTTTATTTTCTTTCTTTTGTATTTTGATTCGCAAATTTGGCAAAGAAAAATTTGCTAATGGAAAAGCAAGCGAAAATTTCAAAAGAGAAAACAAAAAAATTGCCAAATAAAAATCTGCCTGTGGATAAGGGAATTCACAATTAAAACCCGGGAAGGGAATTGACAATTAAAAACGAACTTTGAATGTTTAAACTTCTTCGATAAGGCAGATCAGGACTTCAACTGCTTTAAATATAGCTTTTGAGAATTTTAAAATGTTGGAGAAAAATACAAGTGTACCAGCGGAATTTTGTATCTCAGCAAGTATGATTTTTGTAATCATGAGTTCAGTCGTTTTTAATTGGTAGACATATGGCTGTTCTAGTACTTTTTTAATAGTAAATCTAGTAAAAGGGAAACATTTCATAATTGCTCTCAGAGTACAAAATAATTTGAAAAGTTCGGGAACGCAAATCTAGTAAATATGCCAAAATTAGATGGCAATACTTCAAAACCAACATAACAGCCAATCAGAAGTAGGCATTCCTGTTTACCATTTTTACTCGACTAAATTTCTCGAGTAAAAAGTTTTCAAAGAGAACGCCATTTTGTTTTGTGCTCTCTTAAATTTGAGTCAATGTTTTACCAGTTTTGTGGGCTGAGGAAAGGTTTTCGAGTAAAAAGTTGGAAAACATGTAAAATGAGTAGATTCTATTAGGTTGTGGAACGGAACCAAAATGTCTTGAAGTGCGTTTAGATTTACGAAATCCACACGATCTAAAAAGTCAATTCCATAGTGTATACGTCACCTTAATCATGTTCACAAATTCAGTCAATTACATTTTGACGTATCCGCTATGGAATTGACATTTGAAATGGAGTTGTTTTATTAGTACAAACGCCTTGTAAGAGAATTTTAAACTTTGGAAGTCCATATCTATGGAAATATGACCCGCTGGGATTACTTATCGTAAAAATCATATTTTTTCATTTTCCACCATATACAACGAATGTGCCAATAGTTGACAATACTCCAATCGTTTAAACCTAAGCAAAACCGCTAAATAGGCATCACTTATTTCATGTTAAATGTCAAAAACCAAACATATGTTTCGTTTGCACACTCTCTCGCTCTCAACTCAACAATAACCGGCTGATTGACAACTCTCCCGTTATCAACGAGTGCTCCCACTCTCTCAAAACGTGTGCTGTCAAAAATTTCTTATTGTGCAACACAGAATCACAAAGAAGTACGAATTTTCATTAATATAATTTTTTTTAAGTATTTAAATAAAATCTCAATTAAAATAAATAAATATTGAATGAAAACACTTACCAGAATCGGAGCGACGTTTCATTGTTGTAAAATCATTGAAGATAATCGAATTATGAAGTGTTATTTCTCTGGGAAAACTGTGGTCACTTGATGAACAATTCTTTGGATTGTTTCGAATGGAAAATTGTTTTTTCACCAGTTTATCGGCTTATTACGCGCTTTTCTTCACAGATTGTTCAAATATTTAATAGTTCTCTTTTTATTTTTAATTAATTATCAAAAATATATTATTTTTTTCCAATTGAAAACTTTTCCTTCCCAATGTTATTTGCTATTTGATTAGTTTTTCCTTGTATTGATTTTTGTTTGTTTTTCCCCAGGTTTTTTCACCTTGGTTACCAGCCGGTGTCGAAAACTAATTTCAGCACTAAGGAAAACCCAACCGATTTGGAAATCAACAAGTTTCATCGCCCTGAGTTACTAGCCGTCGCCGCCACCACCTTCGTCATAGCATAACAATGGTTGTTTTCCAACAGTTCGCCAGATTCCTTCACACCACACGTGCTGTCTATGCCGGTGCTGAGAAAAGCGCCTTGGCCGCTTTGAGAAAAAAGACCGGTTACACCTTCGCCAATTGTAAGAAAGCATTGGAGCTGCACAATAATGATATTAATTTGGTAAGTTGGGGGCTATATTTAATTTCATTATAATGATCCACAGTTGGAGGGGGTAAACAGAAACTACGAGAAAAACAAAACGTTTTCCCTGAAAAGACCTCTTTGAATTATTTATGAATACAATTTATAACTTTTAGGGGGGCCTTCGGATTTTGGTATTTTATACAATAACTTTTTGGTCGAAATTAAACCTTCTACACTCCTATAAGACAACGACGTCCTATATTGGAAGATATTTTTCAATGTGCAGTACCCCTAGGCTTCTAAACGAATTCCTTCTGACCTTTTGTTGTTTTTTGATCCATCAGTTGGCTCGCTATTATATGCCTTTTCAGCTGGGGCATCTTTATCCATTCTAACAACATGACCTAGCAAGGTAGACGTTGCAGCTCGATACGTCTGACTATGCCGATGTTCGAGAATAGCTGGAACAACTCATGGTTCATTCGACGAAGATATTCACCGTCAACACAGATCGGCCCATAGATCTTTCGGAGACTTTTTCTCTCCAAGCACTCCAAGAGCTGCCTCATCTGCTTGTGCAAGTATCCATGCTTCTGATCCATACAACAGTACGGGTAGTATTAGCGTCTTGTAGAGTATGTGTTTTTCATGGGTCTTTTCCAGGATTTGGCGCAGAGTAAAACTCTGGTCAATGGTGGATTTGCCAGGTCTGATGCCGCATTGGTTTGGTCCAATAATGTCATTGACCATTGGCTTCAGTCGTCCACACAGTACGCTGGATAACACTTTAAATGCGATGGGAAGGAGACTTATTCTTCTATAGTTGGCACATATCGTCTTGTCTCCTTTTTGTGCGCGGGACACAGGATGCTGAGGTTCCAATCATTGGGCATGCACTCTTCTAGCCAAATTGTAGTAATCAGCTGGTGCATGCTACTTACCGGCATCTGACCACCAGTCTTGAATAGTTCGGCTTGTAAACCATCGACACCTGCTGCATTATTATTCTTCAGGAGATTGATTGATATTCTGACTTCATTTTGGATAGGTGGTATACACTCTATACCGTCATATATTATTGGTTATGGGGTATCTTCTTCACCGCCACTATTTGATACCAGAATTTTTTTCAAAATGCTCCTTCCAGATCCTCTGCACACTGTTTGTATCTGTCACCAGTCGTCCTTCTTCATCTCTCCAGGAGGATGTGCCTTTCGTTTACGTTGCTTTTTCATAGTAAGAGGGGTTTTCCGAGTGTGGGCAACTAACCCGAGGCGTCGGGTCAGTGTCCACAATTGAGATGAAAGAGGGATCAAGATAAGCCTGGACAGAATATATTGTTATGAATTGTAATATCATATTAAGAAGCCTTCTATGAAACTTTAGATTCTGATTTTCTATAAGTTAACCTCCCAACGACATTCTGATCTTCTTTAAAAAACCCTTCTGGATTCCTATAAAATTAATCTTTACAAATATCCACTCATTAAAATTCCTTAAAAAATCTCCCAAAATATCCTCCAAGTCTCCGGAAATAATTTTCTTATGGCAAAAGTATTATTTAAAAATCCACGCTCCTCCTTTGGCTCAGATAACCCTTGAACAAATATTGGAAAAATATATATTTTTTTAAAAATCCACTCATTATAATCCTCCTTATGTTTCGGATAAACCTTGAAAACATATTTGTTTAAAATTTGGATTTTTGATTTTGGAACAACTATTCTTCATAAATCCACGTTCTATTATTTCTCCTCATGGCTTAAATGACCCTTTAAAATCCACTCCAATAGCTCAGATCCACCCTTTGATAGCCCTCCTTAGGGCTCAGATGAAACATAGAAAAAAACTTTAAAATGTTTATAAATCACTCTCTGATATTCCTCTACATGGCTTAAGTGACTCTCGATAATATTTTCTTTAAAAATTTAGGCTATAAATCTACGTTCAGATAGCCGTTCTTCGGCTCATGTTTTCAAATACCTGTGATAGTCCTCCTTAGGAAAAAAACTTTAAATGCTCCCTATGGCTCAGTAGACCTTTCAACAAATATTTTTATAAGTTCACTCTCTGATATTACTCTATATGGCTTAGGTGACCCAAAAATCAACCCTGTAATAGTCCTCTTTATGGCTCCGACGACCCTCGATAATATTTTCTTTAAAAATTTAGGCTATAAATCCACGCTTAGATAACCCTCTTATGGCTCCGATGATCTGTTTTAGGCTCAGATGGCCCCTTTAAATCCATTTGTATGGCTCAGATGTTCCTTGGGAAAAAATTCGTTAAAAATCCACGCTCAGATAGTTATCTTCTGGTTCAGATGACCCATAAAAATATTCTTTATGTAAAAACATGACCTGTGAAATAAATTCAATGAAGATCTTCGTCTATGGCATAGGTCGCCCCTGCATAAAAATGCACGCTTCGCCCTTGAAAAAATCCAGGATTGTGGTCCAGATGTCCTTTGAAAGAATAAATTAAAAATCCCACCTGTTGCTCTGATAGTCCATGAAAAATATTCTTTCAAAAATCCACGCCTGTTGCTCTGATAGTCCTTGAAAAATATTCTTTAAAAAATCCGGGCATGTTGCTCTGATAGTCCTTGAAAAATATTCTTTGAAAAATCCAGGCATATTGCTCTGATAGTCCTTGAAAAATATTTTTAAAAAAATACACCCCTATTGCTCTGATTGTTCTTGAAAAAATATCCTCTTAAAAAATCCACGCCTGTTACTTTGATAATCCTTGAAAAATATATTTTTTTAATTTTTTTCTATTTATCCGTTTATGGCTCAGATGTACTATGATTTTATGCTAATGGCTCAGATATCCCTTGAAAAGATGGAAAAATATTCCTATAATATAAACCCATATAGCCTTAATTATCCTGTTTATCTTTTGAAAACAAAACAATGTATTTTCTTATTTTTCAGGCCGAAAAATGGTTGAAAGAACAGGCTCAAAGTCTTGGCTGGTCCAAGGCCACCAAATTGGCTGAACGTGCCACAGCCCAGGGTTTGGTAGGTGTATTGGTGCGTGGCAATATTGGAGCCATGGTTGAGGTGAACTGTGAAACAGATTTTGTGGCACGCAATGATAACTTTAAGAATTTCGTGGATCATGTGTCGCGGGTATGTGCCCAATATACCGAATTGACACAATTCGATGGGGATTTGTGGAAGGTAAGTTTTTAAAAAATATATATTTTAATGAAAAATAAATAAAAATATTTTCTTTTAGTCCGGTTTTGAAGCTGAAGCCTTGAAAAATCTCAAAACACCCGATGGCAAGTCTCTGGCCGATCATTTGGCCCTGCTCATTGGTACAGTAGGTGAAAATGCCTCCATTAAGCGAGCCATTTGCTTCAAAGTTAGCAACGATTTACAGTTGTCCGGTTATGCCCATCCCCAATCGTCGGCTGCCATTTGCCCACAAAATGTGACTCAGCTGGGTAAATATGGTGCCATTGTTGCATTCCGTGGTAATAAAATCGATGAGGAATTGCAGAAAAATCTCTGTCAACACATTGTCGGTTTGAATCCCAAGAAAGTGGGCGAAGAGGGCAAAGATGAACCCAATGCCAATAAGGATGAAGAGACCTGTTTAATTCATCAAGAATATCTCATCGATGATGATAAAACCGTTGGTGAGGTGTTGAAGGAGAATAATGTTGCCATTATTGATTATCAACGTTTTGAATGTGGTGAAGTGGCAACCAATGATGATTTGGAACAGGCCAAAATGAGTAATTGACAAATGCGCCAAGGAAAAGTTATGAAGGGTCATCATCATCATAACAATGGTGCAGAGGAGAATAATTAATGATTAGTTTTTTTATTATCGGAATACTATGTGATTCGAGTATATCTTTAAAAAAAAAGAAAAAATGCTAGATAATTTCCTTAAAAAAATTATGTGCGCTTTTTTTCCATTCAATGTTATTGTTAAAAATAAAATATAAATAAATATTTTTGATTATATTGTAGTTAATAAAAATACAATGTTAACATAAACTATTTGAGATTTATATGTATGTTTTAAGTTATGAGTTTTGCATAAGAACCTTGAAAATGGTTTAAAAAATTATCAGATGACCCTTAGAAGAACTTTTTAAAAAAGAGGCGTGGATTTTTTAAAGAATATTTTTTCGAGGCTTATAAAAGAGGCGTGGATTTTTTAAAGAATATTTTTTCGAGGCTTTTTAAAGAGGCGTGGATTTTTTAAAGAATATTTTTTCGAGGCTTATAAGAGGCGTGGATTTTTTTAAGGAATATATTTTCAAGCCTTATAAGACGAGTGGATTTTTTAAAGAATATTTTTTCATGGGCTTATAAAAGAGGCCTGGATTTTTTAAAGTATATATTTTCAAGCCTTATAAGACGCGTGGATTTTTTAAAGAATATATTTTCAAGCCTTTTAAGACGAGTGGATTTTTTTAAAGAATATATTTTCAAGCCTTATAAGACGCGTGGATTTTTTAAAGAATATTTTTTCGAGGCTTATAAGAGGCGTGGCGATTTTTTAAAGAAAATTTTTTCAAGCCTTATAAGACGTGTGGATTTTTAAAAAATATTATTTGAGGGTCACCCTAAAAAAAATATGCTTATAGTTGAACCTGCCTCCAATAAAGACCAGGTTATGACTCATTCTTTACCTCTTTTTTCGGATTTACTTATTTCACTGAAGGTTACAAGCATTTAACAAAAAATATACAAAAATAATTGCCATATTGTGGGGATATGGTTTCATTGAACTCGTCCATCAACAATTCACCTACCTCCCCTCATTTACCATCTCTCCGAATTTAGAACTTTAAATTTCATTCATTATGTTAAAAGGTCACCACCATCATGCCGATCATAATACCAATTTTTTTGTTTGTCTGTCAGTTATTGTTGTTCTTCCTCCACAAATTGCTGATACCTGACGACTCATCTACAGCAGCACATCAGTGAATGAGGGATCTACGCATGAGTGATAACCGTCCGGCAGCAGCAGGTGCATGCATAACAATTTTGATATGAAAAAGAAAAAAGTAAACAAAAACAAAACATGACAATAAAAAGTGGTGAAGTTAAATAAGACCTGTTCTCTATTCCGGCGGCATGTTGGTGATCTGTCGGCCAAAAGCTTAGTTAAGAATTTCTTTTGTTCGACTTTTAGTTTTTGGGGTTGAAATTGCAATAAAAAAGTGGCAATAAAAGTGCCAAGTCGAACTTGAGTTTGTAGGAGAAATGGTGATAATAATGTGCACTGATGGGCATAAAGCCAAATCGTGTTTGCGGTATCGGGTCAGCCATCGTAGTGTTGGGTATTATAAATTGAAAAAATAAGAGAACCTAGAATTCAGACTAATGATAAGGAATATGACGGAAATGGGGGTTATGAACAAAGGTCGATCGATATTGATAATATAATTTGAGAACCTAAAATATCAAATTAGAACCAACTCTTTTGGAAAACGTGTCTGAAATCCTCAAAGTAACGAAAAATAGGGATATCTTGAAATGGGGTCTATACCTAAAGTTCAATCGATATTGTTATTATTAGGACGATGTGTCACCCAATTAGAACTCATAATATCAAATAAGAATCAATTCGGTTGAAAAACTGGTCTAAAATATGGAATAATGAGGGGTACCGTTATATGAGACCTACAACGAAATATGGGCCAATTTTGATAATTTTTGAAAGAGAGATTTTCTATTCAATGGGAAACCAAAATACAAATTTTCAGCCAATCCGGTTGATAAACGGGCCCAAACTTCTTACATAAAATTGGGGAGACCGTTATATGACGGCCATACCACAATTTGGACCGATATGGATAATGTTTGGTAGGAAGATTTACCACACAATGAGAAACCAAACTTCCAAATTACAGTCAATTCGGCTGAAAAACGGGCCTAAAATCCCTAAAATACCGAATAATGAGGAGTACCGTTATATGGGACCTACCACGATACATGGGCCAATGTTGATCATTTTTAGTGGGGAGATTTTTTATCCAATGAGAAACCAATGTACTAAATTTCACTCAATTCGGTTGAGAAATTTGCCCAAGCTCCCCAAAATACTGAAATTTTAGGGTACCGTTAAATGGCGGCCATACCAAAACGTGGACCACTATTGATAATTTTTCGTAAGAGGATTTGTTACTCAAAGACAACTGAAAAAAAAAATACTGAATTTCAGCCAATTCGGTTGAAAAATGTGTCCAAGTCCCCATAATTCCGAAAAATAGGCGGCACTATTATGCCATACCAAAACCTGCCATACCAAAATCGGGACCGATATATAAGGTAAGGAGATTTGTTACTCAATGAGAAACTAAAATACTACATTTCGGCCCATTTGGTCGACAAACGTGTTAAAACCCCCAAAAATCTGAATAATAGGCGGTACCTTTATATGGTGACCACACCAAAACATAGACCGTTATTTATAATTTTTGATAGGATTATTTGCCACACAATGTGAACCAATAATAAATGATTACAGTCAATCCGGCTGAAATATGTGTCCGAAATCCGCAAAATTAAGGGTACAGTTATACGAAAACGTGGATCGATATTGCTAATTTTTGGTAAGAAAATTTGTTACTCAAAGATAACCCAAAATACTAAATTTCAGCCAATTCGGTCGATAAACGTGTCCAAACCCTCCAAAATCCCGAAAAATAGGCGGGACCCTAATATGGCGGCCATACCAAAACTTGGACCGATATTGATACTTTTTGGTAGGAGAATTTGACACCCAATGAGAATCCCAAAAATCAAATTACAGAAAATTCGGTGGGCAAATGTACCCACAAATTTTTTTTACAACGAAACATGCTTACAGATCCCAGCACACTTCACTGAGGGAACCTCCTCTGGTCCAATATTGTCTTCCCCGAGGAAATTTGTCAAATTAATGAAGGTCATCTATTTTGTGGCGAAATATTTCAAAGACTGGCAATGTGTTTACATTACAATTGACTTACATTGCTGCTCCCATTAGCTGAACTTCGAGCGGAAGAAGTACTCCGCCTCACCCCATTGAGTTCTGAAAAGAAAAATTAAAAAAGAAATGAGACAATGAGTACACACGCAATCTAGATAGAAGGTAATGTCATAACAGAATAAAAAATTAGAAACACAGCAGACAGCAGAGACATTTGAGGTGCGTGGTTAGCATTTGATGGTCAGTCGGTTGGTCGTCGGTGGCCCACTGGTTGGCCTATTGCAAATTTCATGTGTGTGACATTCTAATGGACAATCTATTTAAAAAACAACAACGAGGCGATGTGATCACCAGCATTGTCTATCAGCAATTTTTTGTACGTGACTTTGTTTATTTGCCAACCATCGCCATCATCATCGTCATCACAGGGCCAGAAATGGTTATAATGGCAAAATAATTGCCCATTTCTTCCGGAGAGAAATGTCCATCAAAAGTTTTTGCAAATCAAAATTCTAATGGCCAAAGACGTAGATCGAAAGACACAATTGGTGAAAACAAAAACAACAAATAAAACTGTTTTGGTTTTATTTGATCATTTCCTAGTGCAAAAACCGATTCAAAGAGTAATAATAAGGGCATTGTATCCGCTGGTGGTGGCATGATCGAATTGGAGGGTACTCTACAAAATTATTATTTAAAAAAATAAGAGGAGATTTTTTAAAGTATATTTGGTCCAAAAGTGGCATGGATTTATTAAACAAGATATTTTCGACACCCAGCAAAGGTGTGGATTTTATAAAGAATATTTTTTGAAGACCTATGAGAGGCGTGGATTTTTTTAAGACCTATAAGAGGCGTGGATTTTTTTAAGACCTATAAGAGGCGTGGATTTTTTAAGACCTATAAGAGGCGTGGATTTGTTTAAGACCTATAAGAGGAGTGGATTTTTTAAAGAATATTTTTTCAAGACCTATAAGAGGCGTGGACCTATAAAAGCCGTGGATTTTTTAAACAATATTTTTTCAAGACCTATAAGATTTTTCGATTTTTCAAGACCTATAAGAGACGTGGACCTATAAGAGGCGTGAACCTATATGAGGCGTGGGCCTATAAGAGTCGCGGATTTTTTAAACAATATTTTATCAAGACCTATAAGAGGCGTGGATTTTTTAAAGACCTATAAGAGGCGTGGATTTTTTAAAGGCCTATAAGCGGCGTGGATCTATAAGAGACGTGGATTTTTTAAATAATATTTTTTCAACAACCAACAGAGGCGTGGATATTTTAAAGAATAGAGGCGTGGATTTTTTGGAGAATATTTTTTCAATGACCAAATGTAGGGTACTTTTGCAAAAATAGTTTGAAACAAAAGGAAATAAATTTGCAACATAGGGAGAAAGAAACAAGTAGTAACAACAATAGACTCTACATAGCCAAAATAAAGGGCGATTATTCAACATGAACTGGGAAATGGGGAAACAATAGCGTGAAATGCACAATGGGTTAGTATTCTTTAAAAAATCTACGCCTTTGCTGGGTCTTGAAAAAATATTCTTTAAAAAATCTACGCCTTTGCTGGGTCTTGAAAAAATATTCTTTAAAAAATCTACGCCTTTGCTGGGTCTTGAAAAAATATTCTTTAAAAAATCTACGCCTTTGCTGGGTCTTGAAAAAATATTCTTTAAAAAATCTACGCCTTTGCTGGGTCTTGAAAAAATATTCTTTAAAAAATCTACGCCTTTGCTGGGTCTTGAAAAAATATTCTTTAAAAAATCTACGCCTTTGCTGGGTCTTGAAAAAATATTCTTTAAAAAATCTACGCCTTTGCTGGGTCTTGAAAAAATATTCTTTAAAAAATCTACGCCTTTGCTGGGTCTTGAAAAAATATTCTTTAAAAAATCTACGCCTTTGCTGGGTCTTGAAAAAATATTCTTTAAAAAATCTACGCCTTTGCTGGGTCTTGAAAAAATATTCTTTAAAAAATCTACGCCTTTGCTGGGTCTTGAAAAAATATTCTTTAAAAAATCCACGCCTTTGCTGGGTCTTGAAAAAATATTCTTTAAAAAATCCACGCCTTTGCTGGGTCTTGAAAAAATATTCTTTAAAAAATCCACGCCTTTGCTGGGTCTTGAAAAAATATTCTTTAAAAAATCCACGCCTTTGCTGGGTCTTGAAAAAATATTCTTTAAAAAATCCACGCCTTTGCTGGGTCTTGAAAAAATATTCTTTAAAAAATCCACGCCTTTGCTGGGTCTTGAAAAAATATTCTTTAAAAAATCCACGCCTTTGCTGGGTCTTGAAAAAATATTCTTTAAAAAATCCACGCCTTTGCTGGGTCTTGAAAAAATATTCTTTAAAAAATCCACGCCTTTGCTGGGTCTTGAAAAAATATTCTTTAAAAAATCCACGCCTTTGCTGGGTCTTGAAAAAATATTCTTTAAAAAATCCACCCCTTGTATTGGTCCTTGAAAAAATATGCTTTAAAAAATCCACGCCTTGTATTGGCCCTTGAAAAAATATTCTTTAAAAAATCCGCGCCTTTTATAAGCCTCGAAAAAAATTTTTTACTTGACCATTGCTATACCTTCACAAAACTACCAACCCATTGTGCGATACACAAAACTAACAAACCATCAGACAAACAGCCAACAAAAAAGCATAAACAAAGCGACAAAGAAAAGCACTCCAACTACCACCACCACCGATCGACCACACTTTGACCAAAACACAAACTCTGTTCCGACTTTGTTTTGGACATTTCAGTTTTGAATACCGATCGAGGCAAAGCGGTCATACGCCAAACTTTAAAATAACAGAAAAGAAAATTAAAACAAACTTCGTTGTAAATTACAAAAATTAGAAATAGAACAAATAGAGAAAGAAGAGGAGAAATTAGAACTAGAGAAAGATCAACAGGTGGCGATTTACAGAGAACTTTAAAAAGCGAGAAGAAAAAAATAATTAAATGTAAATAATACAAATTTAAATAAAAATACACCGGGATATTTTTAAATAAAAAGGTGACATTTATCTGAAGTGAAATACGAAATTTTCGGGTATTGTAATGTGAAAATATTTTTAAGTGGATTTCAATTAAATTTTGGATTTATTTTATTTCGTTTAAAAGTAAAAGAAAAATTTGGTGAAAAAAATTGAAAAACAATATTTAAAAATTTCAAAAGAAATTTAAACAAAATTAAAAAAATATTAACAATTTATTTTAATTAACACTGGTTGTTAATAAAATAGTTAAAAAAAAACTCAAAATAAAATATTGTCGAAGCCGAAGTATTTGACCCAGCTGTCTTCTTCCAAAATCAAAGCAAAATGGCAACCAAAGCCTTACAATTCAACTTTATAAAACAGGTAAGAAGTTATTACAACAATTTCTCCTAAATGTTGGTGAAATATTTTATCCCATATTTTTGTGAAAAGTTGCTACATAAATTTTAGTTATTGGTAATAACTTTTATTTTCAAAATTTGGTGTCACAGAAAAAGAACTGGAAGTGTAAAAAACAACAAAACCTAAGGGTGTCAACATTATTTGAATCTACATTCGGCATAGTTATAAGTTTGCCTAGTGCTTATTATCAGGTCAGAAGAAGTGTATGTGTGTGTGTTTGCTTATAATTAAAATATATGTTCCAACATACTGAAGAGGACATGATCATGGTTACCTTGACATAATATTTTGGTAGAAGACTTGCAGGATTTCTTGACAATTTTCTAATAGAAAACATACATACAGTATGCAAACTCCGTATTCGTACACACATGACAAACATAACCAGTGGGCGGAGCAGTATAGTCAGAAGAGGCCGCCCTACACAACTACCACGGAACTCTAACTGCCAGCGGATGTTTTTCCGAGCCTGGGCAATATTTCACACTATTTGCACCCTCTTATCCGATTGGAGGTAAACAGCATCTCTTCCTTACCCTGACATATTTTCCGAATATTACTAATATTCAGTACAGCCCTTTTAATTACTTTTCCAGATTGCCTTCACCGTAGGTTGTGTTGTGATGTTCGGCTTACAATTGTGATCGACACACATTGGACCAAATACGTTTCAGAAAAATTTTATTTCATCCCATCTTATTATGTCTTCCAAACTTAGTTCAAGTCCGAATTTGGGGAATATCGGTCCATGCCTTCTGGTACCTCCCACACAGTGGCCACGGCTAAGCCTAAATGCGGGCTATAGTTCACATATAGTTCATTATCGAACCGTTTTCTCGATATGTTTTTTTAATCTCGATATGCTTCGCAGGTGAAATGATTACAACAGAGTGTTAGAACCAAACCCAAAACGCGGAAAAATCAGATAATTATATTAATATAAAAAATGGGGTTATATGGGGACTACGCTTAAAAGGGGTTGACTATTAATAATTCTTCCCTTATATGGGAGCTACCAGAAAAAATGGACTCATATTTATAATTTTTAGTGGAGATATTTGGTACCCAATGTACCAAATTTCAGCGAATTCGGTTGAAAAACGCGCTCAAGAACCCCAAAATACCGAAAATTGGGGGTACCCTTATATGGGGGGCTACCAGAAAAAATGGACCTATATTCATAATTTTTTGTGGAGTCATTTGAAACCTATTAAGAACTCAAAGTACTTAATTACAGCCAATTCGGTGGAAAAATACGACCAAAACCCCCAAAATACTGAAAAATAGGAGGTACCGTTATATGGGGGCTACCAGAAAAAGTGGACCTATATTTATAATTTTTTGTGGAGACATTTAGTACCCAATAAGAACCCAATGTACCAAATTTCAGCGAATTCGGTTGAAAAACGCGCTAAAGAACCCCAAAATACCGAAAATTGGGGGTACCCTTATATGGGAGCTATCCCTAAACGTGGACCATATATCCCATCATCGAACTTGACCTACCTGCAGACAAAAGACAACCCTATGCAATATTTCAGCAGCCTTTCTCAATTCCTTCGGAAGATAGCGTGATTACAACAGACGGACATGGCTAGATCGAATTTTCTTAGAATTTTCCCCTGATCAAGAATATATAAGGTCGGAAATGAATATTTCGGTGAGTTACAAACGGAATGACAAAATTAATATACCCTCCATACTATGGTGGCGGGTAAAAAAACAATCTAGCGGTGTCAACATTGTATGTGCAGAATTTCGACGCTCCATCTCTTTATGGTGGAAAGTATAAAAACCTCAGATTCAATGTATATTTCGGCAGCTAAGGATTCCGATTTTTCAATGCAATTTTTTGGAGATTTTTATCTGAATTCGAACTAAATAAGCCAAATGCAGTCTTCATTACATTGAAACACGCACAGAAATGCAAAACAATGGATTTTTTAAATAAAATTCACATCTTAGGCCTGTCTTACTTTAACCAGTCACTTTTTATATACCAAGCTTTAACTCGTAATGACCCACACCCCCTTCATGCCCAAAAGTGCAGTGTTAATCGCAAATTACCATTGCATGACTTTAACGCAGAGGAAAACATAACACGAAAATAGGAAAACACAAATTTTCCAATTTTCGAAATTTACCAACCATTCGACCAATCGACAGACAGATGTCTGTCGTTTGTTGGCCGTCCATAGAAAGTTTAAACAATGTATTATTTCAATTTTGTTTACGCAATGTTTACATAAACTGGACCATTTAAATTGGAGTTCAATAAACTATTTTTGCTAATTAGTTTAAAATAAATAAAAAATGTATATATTTTAAAATAACAATCCAAATAGATTTGCATTTGAAATGAAATGATTTGAAAAAACCCCATTCATTTGTATGTTAGGTTTACTCCCCATTCATTAGTTCGAACGTTAGTTAGTGAATGAAGGGTTTTGAGTTTAAAAAGTGAAGTGTAAAATGCAACACGTGCTTTCACTTATTAACCTATGGGTGTTATGAATGTGATATTGAACTCAAATTGGAAATAAAAAATGTTGAAAAATAAAAAAATATAAATCTAAACAATTCGAGAATACCAACACATCCAAGGTTGTAAAGTCGGGGGGAAAATTATTTAAAACAAGTAAAAACCTTAGTAGATTCGGCCTGACCGAAGTTTTTAAATTCTCCACCATGAGGCGGACACTCAAAATACATACAATCGATTGGGACTTTTATATGGGCGGCTAACAAATCTTCATTGGCTAACAAATCCTCTCATCGAAATTTTTCAATAAAGACTCAAGTTTCGGGATAAGCCCCATATAACGATACCTCCTAAATTTCGGTTTATTTTTTCAACCGAATTGGTTGTAATTTGGTATTTTCGTTTCGCATGGGCTAACAAATTGTCACACAAAAAATTATACACTTTTTTGGGGTAGCCCCAATATAAATGTATCTGCTATATTTCAGTGTTTTAGGGAGCTTGGGCACGTTTTTCGGACGAATTGACTGTAATTTGGGTTCTCCTTGGGTAGTAAAATTCCATACCAAAAAATTTTAATATTGGTCTACTTTTTATGGTAGCTCCCATATAAGGGTACTTCCTAATATTTGGTCTTTTGGGGGGCTTGGGAACGTTTTTCAACAAAATTGGATATAATTTCGTATTTTTGATTCTCATTGGGTAGTAAAACTTACTACAAACAATTATCAGTATTTGTCCACTTTTTAGGGTAGCTCCCATGTAACGGTACACTACACTATTCGTTATTTCACGGATTTTGTGTACCTTTTTAAATCAAGGAGAACGTAATTCAGTAATTTGGATTCTCATTGGGTAGTAAACCTCCCTACCAAAAATGATCAATATTGGTCCACGCCCCCATATCACAGAACGTCCAGAATTTCAGAATTCTGTGGAGCTTGAGAACGTGTTTCAACCTAATTGCCTGTAATTTGGTATTTTGGGTAAATCTTCCCACCAAAAATTGTCAATATTGGCCTAATTTTTAGGGTAGATCCCATGTAAGTGTACCTTCCAAATTTCAATATTTTCGGGGGCTTGGGAACGTTTTTCAGCCAAATTATTTATCTGTATCCTAGTACATTGAGTTATCATTGGGTAGTGAACCTCCCTACCAAAAATAATAAACATTTATCTACTTTTTAGGGTAGCTGCCATATAATAGAACCTGCAGAATTTCAGAATTTTGGGGAGCTTGGGCACGTGTTTCAATCAATTTATTTAGGGTTCTTATTGGGTGGCAATTTTTCCTACCAAAAATGATCGAAATTGGCCTTCATTTTAGGATAGATGCTATGTAAAGGTATCTTCTGAATTTTTGTATTTTGGGGAGCTTGAGTATGTTTTTCAATTAAATTATCTGTAATTTGGTATTTTGGGTTCTCATATGCTAGTAAACCTTTCCACCAAAAGTCATCAATATTGGTATACTTTTTAGGTTAGCTCTCCTGAATTTTGGTATTTTGGGGAATTTGGGCGCGTGTTTCAATCAAATTGTCTGGTATTTGGTATTTTAGGTTCTCATTGGCTGATAAATCATCCCAATAAAATTTATCAATATTGGTCCACTTTTTAGGGTAGCTCCCACGTAAGGGTACCTCTAGAATTTCGATTTTTTGCGAAGTTTTGTCCACGTTTTTCAACCAAACTGACTCAAATTTGATATTTTGGATTCTCGATGACTAGCAGATGTTCCCACCAAAAAATATCAATATTGGTCTTCGTTTAGGGTAGCTTCCACATAGAGATACCTCCCAAATTTCGATATTTTGGGAGCTTGGACACGTTTTTCGACCAAATTGGTTCATATTTGATATTTTAGGTTTGGGTAGTCTAGAACATCTACCCACCAAAAATTGTCAACATTGGTGCCCCCATATAGCGATACATCCCAAATTTCGATATTATGGGTGTTTGGGCATGTCTTACAATCAAAGTGCCTCAAATTTCATATTTTGCGTTCTCCTAGTCAATGAAATATTCCCACCAAAAATTACCAATTTCGGACTACTTTTTATGGTAGCCCCCATTAAGCGATATCACCCAAATTTCGATATTTTGGAAAGTTTAGACATGTTTTTAAACCGAATTGAATTTAAATTGATATTTTGGATTCTCTTTGGCTAGCAAATCTTCTCATCAAAAATTATGAAAATTGTTATCCTTTTTAGGGTATCACCTATATAAGAATACCTCCAGAATTTTGGTATTTTGGGGATCTTGAGCTCGTTATTCAACCAAACTGGCTCAAATTTGATATTTTAGGTTCGAATTTGCTAACAAATCTTCCACTTAAAATTATGAAAATCGCTCTACATTTTAGGGTAACCCCCATATAAGGGTACCTCCCGAATTTCAGTATTTTGGGGATCTTGAGCAAGTTATTTAGCCAAACTGGCTCAAATTTCATATTTTGGGTTCTCATTGGCTAACAAAT